GAAAGTGCCAGCATGACCAATGAATCTATGGACCTAGGGGATCAAGTTACCGATGCAATGTTCATTAAGAGCCCCAACAATGGTTCTGATGGGCCTCAGAGTAGCAATTCCAAGTGGATTCCTAATGATGAGAAAAATGCATCTGGAAATGGAAACACTCATGGAAATCCAGATCTCAATGTTGGTGATGTAAGCAGAATCCCTTTCTTGCGCTTGTATTTTCTTTTTATATTTTTGTTGCGTTTCAGTTGCTTATTTGCATGGCTGATAAGAGACAACCAGGGAATTTTTCTTGTGTTCTGTAAATATGGTTTGCCTATTTCTTGATTCAATTTTGAATGGGTAAATGGCTCAATTGGCTTGGAGCAAATTTATCTATCTAGCATTCTAATGCTGGCTATAACCTTAGCACCATAAGATATATTAAGTCCATAGACTAGAGAATGAGTAATTGAGGTGAGAGGTTTACAACATGCATCATGGAAGCTGTTTGAGTTTTCTAAATCAGTGTCTTTCTTCTGCTGTTTTGTTGTTTTGGATTCCGTAATAGTATTGGCTTTCCATCTTTGGTATAGCTGTTGGTTGCAATGTCTGGATGCTAATTTTCTGTGCTCCAAAAGGATCAAAGATGCTAATTTTCTGGGTTTTTGGTGAACCCTTAATCATTTTTCAAATCATCTCCTGTTATCCCCTAGTTGATGTATGTGAAAGAGCAGGACCATTCTTTCTGTGCCTCTTGATGCCAATTCCATATGGCAAGGGGCATTTAAATGATGAGAATTGCTTTTTAAAGTAAAGTTGATGTACTTGAATTCTATTCAATTGGTCATTATTTTTCAACTTGCTTGAAAATTTAGCTGAGGTTAATCATGAAAGTTGCTTTCCAGTCATATGCTACATGTGATGTAATGATCTTTATATGGATGTTGCTAGTCCAAGCAAATCCTTGCATGAAGAGTTATATCTTCCTTTGAAGTTTGAATACCTCTTACCAATGCAACTTTTTTTTAATTTTTTTTTTAATTTGTGTGGAACCTGTTTACCCCTAATTAGTTTCTTAATTTTAACCTGCAGTTCCAGGCATTTGACTTTCGGACAACTTTGAGAAACGAACCATTCTTGCAGCTTTTCCATGCTCTATATGTATATCCTTTAACTGTGAGCTTGAGTAGGAAAAGGAATCTATTCGTAAGAGTTGAGCTAAGAAAGGATGATGCAGATGTTCGTAGACAACCTTTAGAGGTAAAATTGTTGATTGATACTTTGCACTATAATTTTTAAACTTGTCTTATTGTTCTTTCTGTGCTACTGATATGACTAGGCAATGTATCCAAGGGAACCTGGTTTATCACTTCAGAAGTGGGCTCACACGCAGGTTGCTGTTGGTGCTCGGGTGGCCTGCTACCATGATGAAACTAAAGTTTCTCTCCCTGCTGTTTGGACACCATTGCATCACCTTCTATTCACTTTCTTTCATGTTGATCTTCAAATGAAACTAGAAGCTCCAAAACCAGTGAGTTCAATGAGATGCTATTTTCTTTTCCTTCCATTTGAAATAATACAAAATCATCTGAACCTCGTCTTAGTGGTTGTATACTCGTTGGTTAGTGGTTTGGCCTGTTTCACACTGCTCTCATTCTATCTTTTATGGTAATCCTAAGTAGTACTGTTCTCTTACTTGGCAGGTAGTAATTGGATATGCAGCACTTCCATTATCCACCCATGCACAGTATGCAACTGCCTTTATGTTTGGCATCTCTTGTTTTGTTTCTTTCTGTGATGATTTATTAATTTACATTATTTGTTCTGCTACTGGAGTGATTGGTATGGTAGTTCATGGTATTGGAAATAAACACGGGGCAGAAATATAATCACCTGTTTGGTATTCTAGTGCTTTGTTAAGTTAATGTTATAATTTCAATTGTCAGGTTACTTTCATGGTTTATGTTGTGGGTACTTGGATGATATCAATGTGAGTCTTCATTCACCTTACAGTGAAATGCTACCTAGTTTATTCAGATAAGTTTGACAAAATCTTATTAAAAACAACAGAGGTGGTATTTAACATCAAGAACTCTCATTACCTAAGCTTAATGTACGAAGTTATTGAATCATAAAAATCATATATGATCGTTTATACTTTATACCTAAAGAAATTTAATATTTTGGTACAGGTCACACTTGAGTAGGGTCCAGAGAAGGGTTGAATTGTGAACAATTTTCCTTATCCTTTAGCCTTTTTTTCTAAAGCAGTTGTAATTAAGATTTGGTAATGAGAGTAATAATTATCTGTACCATATAATTTATTCCCCATCCCTAAAATTTAATAAAATAAAAATAAAATACCAGCAGCTTTTTGTCATAAAGAAACTGAGAAACCAGATATTATAGCATTTTTCTAGTCTGTATTAGGTCCTAGCCTTCTTTGATGTCAACTAAATGTCATAACAGTATATTTTCTAGTAATTTAGACATTACTTTTTCTCATGCTTTTGTTATCTGCATCATTTTATTTTTTTTCCTTGTTACATCATTCAATGATTTCACCATTTTTAACTACGTTCTGTACTCAGGTTGCGATCAGAAATTTCTCTACCGATTATGAGAGAACTGGTTCCACAGTATCTTCAAGAAAATGGAAAGGTATTTTTATTTTGACATGTGTTCATCTCTGGTCAAAAGAAAAAATTAATTTGTTTGAACCTTTCTACATTGTAAATTATAAAATGATATTCACACCCTATTACGTAACTAATTATTTTTCATTGTGTTTAAGATTCTGATTTTTCAAAGATCTGTTATAAATAAAACTAGCCTAGCTTCATTATCACATAGATGGTTGCTTTTTACTGTGCCAGATGATTATTCATTAATCCATATCTTTTAATTGTAGGAGAGGCTGGATTATTTGGAAGATGGAAAAACTATTTTTAAATTGCGATTAAGGCTTTGCTCATCTTTTTACCCAATTAATGAGCGTATACGGGATTTTTTCCTTGAATATGATAGGCACACTCTTCGAACAAGCCCTCCCTGGGGTTCTGAACTTTTGGAGGTATATCGGCTATGCTTCTTTCTTCAGTCTTTAGAGTTGTCTTGGTTAAATCCATTGTCAGGATTCATAATCTCTTTAGTTTTGGTGTTTTATAATTTTCAAGTCAACTGAAATTATTCTATGGTTGTGCTTGAATCGATTTAAACATTCCCCAAATCTAGTTTTCTTAATTGGTGATACAGCAGGTAAATTTTATAAATGCAAAACACTATGTTATGAATTGGAGTGTTTTCCATATGGTTAGTATTTTTCAAACCATAATATATCTTAGTGACTAGATCTTTAGGTAGATTATGCAATAAAAGTAGTATTAGGGTCTGACTTTAGTTAGGTTTTTGTCTCTCTCATTTATCTATCTTTGGTATTGAGTAGCAAGAGATATTTTGGATTTGAATTGTTGGGACTTAGGTTGTTTATTTTTATTTTTTAAAAGGTTACAGGAAAATGTATTTTAACCATCCAACCTCTAATCAATTGGCAATGGGTGGAGTTATCCATTGGTTTCCTATAATTCACTGATATGAGATTCTTACACGTGACACACCCTCTCACATGCACTTGTCACATGGTCATAGCACACCACTCCACTGTCAACCTCACCTCCGATTGCACACTAGGGCTTCCAACAACTCTTCTAGGGTTGCAAATTTGTAGCAACTTTTTTGGATTTGTGCAAACAAACTAGGCTCACAACAATCTCTCCTAACATCAACTACCCCCCTTGGATTGCTCATACAACTTGGCCCTGGGCTTTGATGCCATGTGAATATCTAAATTAAATCAATTGTAATATGTGGAGTACTACATTGTATTTGAAGTCCATAGGTTTCTCTTTAATTCCCCAATGTGGGTTTTTTCCAGTTAACAGGTATTAATTGAAAACAGTGGACTAATATAATCTCAAATACTGCAGAGGGGAAATTGCTGTAAATGTATACATGATGAGAATGTCTTGACTTAATTAAATAAAATTTAAACATTAATTTTGATTTAATATAACTATGTAGCCTGTATAGGGTCCTGAATCTGTCCAAAATCAAATAGATTGCAGTACTTGATGTTGTTGATGCTTATACTTCTCTTTGTCCTTGATTTCTTGTGTCTGCACTACTCTCTTGCAACCAAGGAGCATTTGGGATTCAGGTGTCATATTTTGTTTGCAAGAGATCACAACAGTGTTACAAAATGCGCAACTAGGCGGAGTGCTGGCTGGTGCCTTGCCTAGGTTGCTGTGGCAGTGGTTTCGTGTGTCTTAGTGTTGCAAAAGACGCTAGGCAATGCCTAGGTGTTGGGCCACTGCCTTGCACCATTGGGGCTGCTTAAGCGCCACCTAAATGCTCTAGGCATTTTAATTTTTTTTGCAAAAAATTGCCAAAATAGAACGGAAAATCTAAAAACTTGAATAAGTAGCTTGCTCAACTCCACCGCCTATTGCCTCGGCAAGGTGATGGAGCAAAAAGAAAAAAAAAAATCTTAAATGCTATAGACGAGTTTATGGTAATACTTGCTTTTAAACTTTTTTTTTTCTTTTTCGTTTTTTTGGTATTATTCTTTTTTCTATTTTTTGACGTTTTTGAATAAGGAAAAAAAAAAGAAGAAAATGCTAGGGTGGGCCTAGGCACTACTAGGCAGTGCGTCAATGCCTCACCATCACCTATAACTTTTCAGTACATTTCAGACTCTTAGAAAGCCTTGTGGGAGCAGAAGGTTGTTGGCTGGAAAATGTGGGTTAATGGGGGACCAGGTTCTTATGTCAATTAGGTTGTCATTGAATTGGCTTTGAGTTTTCCAGCACTGAAATACTCAGATTTTATATTGGTGGTGGAATTCATTGTGTTCCACTTTTTAGTTTTATTAGTAATATTACTCTTTGCCAATCAAAAGGAAAAAACAAAAAACACATAGAAGTATGAAATTTGTGTCATGGAATCTGATGTTATCAAACAATAAATTTCTTCAATAGTCAAAAAAATGGCACTTATTAGCACTCTGCTTTGGTTTGCAGGCAATTAATAGCTTGAAGAATGTCGATTCAACTGCTTTGCTTCAGTTTCTTCACCCAATTCTGAACATGCTTCTCCATCTTATAGGAAATGGTGGAGAAACCCTTCAGGTTCTCAGTTTAGTTTTAACAATGATTTAAATTTCCCTCAAACTTATACATTTTGTGTACATGCCCTCTTTCATCTAAATCTCCAAGCTGGAAGAGTTTTATGATTAAGTTCCACCATGTTAAATTGGTTAGATTATTACATGCTGCTCATTTATTGTTTTCTCTGTCACATCAGGTTGCAGCATTCAGAGCCATGGTTAATATCTTGACTCGGTATGTTGTTTGGTTATTGCATTGATTGAAACTTGCAAGGATTTGTTATTCATCATCATCATTAGAACATAGAGACAAATGAGTTTATGGAGGATAAACAAGTTTGATCATTCAATTAGGGATGAAAGTGATTGCACAGAAGTGTAGAAATTCAAAATCTTCATTACTGAACCTTAGTTTTAATATTTATATTATATTGCACTATTTTGTGCATCTTCACTTTTGCTACTTGAAGAAAGTTAACGTGCTTAGCTATTTCAATCCCTTGTCTTGACCTTTGAATCGAGTATTTGTAACTAGCTGGTACTAATGCAAATAAGGTCTAAATTTATGTTTAGGTGGATGTGTATAAACTAATAGATCATTGCCTTTTCTAGGTTATACATCTGATAAAGGATACTAGCAACCAACTTGAGGTTAACCAAATTGTTGTAGATTAAGTATTATAACCTTGTCTTTGGGATAAAGGTTATGGGTTTAAATCTGTTTTGATCTTAAAGCAGCCCAATACTCCTATGAACAAGAAAGAGAAGAAAGAACAGATTAAAAAAAAAAAAGGAAAAGAGGAAAAAGGAACCAGCAAGAGGTTGAAAACTATGAAGAGGAAGCTCACTATCAAAAGATTGTCTCATTTGGTGACTAAAGGCACAGTGGCTTGTTTCAAATCAAGTTCTTTTATCGTTTTGTTGTCAAAAAGAAGTGTAAATTCATGGATGGTGCACAGTTTTCCACATTGAAATCTGTGGCTTGCAAGAGATAAGAGTTTATCCATGAGCTACCAACTCACTTTTTTGGTGCATTTGCCCCCTATTGAAGCAGATTGAATGTATCTGAGGTGCCTAGATGGTCAAAATGCACTGTCTAGCTAATTATTAGTCTACTCCACATCTATCACTGTGCAGCTTATGTTTTTTTGGATGAATGTGCAGCCTATCATTAGTCTACTGTCCACAATATGAATGCATAGTTTACTTCTAGCAACCAAACTTCTAATTTAATCTCCTGGAATATCCTAAGTAGTTAAATTTTTTATTAGCATGCTTCCACTGTTTTATATTTTGCCAGGTAATCAATTTGTTGGGATTCTATTTTTTTCGTGTTATTATTATTATTTTTGAATTTCTGTCAATTGTATGCTTTGATTTTTTGTTTGATAAAAAAAGTAACTGAAGATTTTTATATCCTTTTGTAGGGTGCAGCAGGAGTCAGTTGATGATGCTGAACGTAATCGCTTTCTTGTTAACTACGTAGATTATGCTTTTGATGACTTTGGGGGTCGTCAACCACCTGTTTATCCTGGGTTGTCTACTGTGTGGGGTAGCTTGGCTCGTAGTAAGGTATGTCTATCTTCCCTGATACAGCCTTCTATTAATGGTGTTGATTTCTGTCTGCTTTCCTGCTTTGGTATTCTTTCTCAATAAGATTCAGTAATGTTGTGACTTTGTTCTTTTATTGTAATTTTGGAACTTGTAGCCATGTTTCTTTTTATTTTTTTATTTTTTTTTTATGATATATATAAATGTTTTGATCAATGCAACCCCTTCATACACATTTCATCAGGTGAGATGAGCTACACTACAGCACTAGAAATAGATGGCATAAAACATTAAGATAACAATCCTCTTCTTGTGTGAGTTCACTCCACATTAGTGTAGGCCATAGGAATTATATTATTTACTGAATCAAATTAAAGTCTGCCACCTGTTATTCATTGATATGGAACATATAGATTCAGAATATATTACATATGAACAAAGGAAGAGAGTCTAACAATTAAATTAAGAACACATACAAACAGAGAAAAAGGCCAGTTATATATAATTTAATCTGATGGCTGTAGTTAAAAGATAAAAAATGAAGAGTTCATTCACAAAATTTTTGTTTTGGACCTGAATCCTAGTGTTGGTGTGATTACATCCTTTTTAACAGCTATAAAGAAAACAATGAGTGTCAATTTGGTTGGTGGTCAGCCAGTCCAGTTGATTTTGGTAGGAAAACCTTGTTAATGTTTCTGATTGCCTAGTGCAGACATGATTTTAATACAGCTGATGACACCTGTTGGTGGTTAAGAACTAAAATCACTGCATTATAAATGCACTATTTTGTTATAGTTGTTTCTAAGAACAATTTGAATGATACTAATTTGTGCAGGCCAAAGGATATCGTGTTGGACCAGTCTATGATGATGTTTTGGCAATGGCTTGGTTTTTCCTTGAGCTAATGGTCAAGTCAATGGCAATGGAACAGACACGTCTTTTCTATCAGAGTCTTCCATCAGGTACAAGAATTACACAGAAGAAAGTTATAGAGACATACTTTTATTCATATTTACATAGACATACACTTAGTTAGTAGCATTGCCTGTTCACAAGTCTTTTTCTTCCCCTCCCCCCCTTTCTGAAAAAAAAAAAAAAAACCCTGCAAACTCTCTTGGAAATACTTGTATAAATTATAACAGCAACCACTGGAAACAGTTGGAGTGCGGGAAAGATGAGGTTTAGAGGAACTTAAATTCCTAAACTTCAGATCTCAAGTGATCAACCCTTTTTCCTTTTAAACACTGTCCATGGGATCCTATCCCATTTAGGCATAATGATTCCCTCCTAGGAGCAGCATGTTCATGTTCCGTAATTCCCATCCTTTTGGAACTTGCTTAAGGCCTCTAGTCCAGTGTGGTTGAGGGTTTTCCATTATGTGGCATTTTAAACTTTAGCACTCTTTTTCATTTGGCTGGGGGAAGTGTTCCCCTGCTTGAGTTGTCACAACACAACTCCACATTCTCATAAATATTATTTTGTCAATTACCAGACTACCCTCAAATGCTCTACCACGAAATGATTCCCATTGAGCGACCATTGCTCCCTTTAAAGTCCACAAGGCCTCTCCTTGATTCTTCTATTGTTTATCTATAACGTATGCTCATGTCCACTCTAGCTTGCCTCTGCCATCGATTCATTGTTCATGCTCTGTTGCCCTCCAAGATAAGATGTGCATGCTCCTTGAATGAGTTTGTTATTTTTGCCATCCCTTGAATGAGTTTCAATTACTTGGTTATCTGCATGTCAACCACTTAAAGTGGTAATCTGCATGTCAAGCACTTGAGATTTGCCTAAGGGTGTTAGATGCAATGGACTGTTATGCGTTGAGTACTAACTGGGCTTTTAGCAACCACTATTGGGTTGCACACGCAACCTGGGCATGTGCTTCAATTGGCTATAGCTAGAGTAGTCCGCATCGTGTTTAACAGTTAACAGTAGCTAATCATTTTTTGTTTATCATATATGTGTGCCTCTTAAATGGCAACAGTTCATCTTTTAATTTCAAAAATGTTTTCCTTGATAGCATTTTCACCACTCAACTTTTGGATTCTAGTTGCTGCTTTATTATATATAATATATTATTATTATTATTATTATTATTTTATTTTACTTTTTTGTGGTGTAGGTGAAGATGTTCCCCCAATGCAGTTGAAGGAGGGTGTCTTCAGATGTATAATGCAGTTGTATGATTGCCTTTTGACAGAAGTTCATGAACGCTGTAAGAAAGGTTTTAGCTTGGCAAAACGATTGAATAGCAGTCTGGCATTCTTTTGTTATGATCTTTTGTCCACCATTGAACCTCGCCAAGTTTTTGAACTGGTATGTTTTTTGAACTGGCATGTTGATGCAAACCAAGCTCTCTTGATTGTCATACATTGCACTTATATATGTAATTACATTCTAAAATTATGACTGACCATTTCCCGTTTTGCTAAATCTTTGGTAGAAATTTCACATTTCTCTTTTTTTTTTTTGGTATAAATTCAACTTCTTTTCAGTCTCTTTCAAGAATTACAACACAACCTACAGATATTTAAACTTTTAATTGAAGAAATCTTAAGCCGCACGGTTTCTGTAGACTTTTTATTTATTCTACAGATCAAAAAAGGATACTCTGGATCTATAAAAAGAATTTTCTTATTCCACCATCAAGTTGAATTTTTCAATTTGCACTAAATCAGTACTCACTGTGATTTAAGTGAAAACATCATCAGAGAATTTGTTATAAATATTCAATTATTTAT